TTACAGCGATTTGGAAGAACAACAATGAAATTCCTCATGCTTGTACTTGAGATGGCATGAGTGACCCTTGATCAGAAAGCATGTGGGGCCTGGGTGTAAGCACAGGTCCAGGAATGATCTGGGGCTGAAAAATCTGCCTTATAAATCCTGGAGTGCTGCATGTTTGGAAGATTTAGGGTGGTTCTAGGGGAAAAGCTCATGTACCTCTTTCTTATTCAGTAAGGATTTATTTCAACATTTTAGCAGGTATGGCCTTAACTATGTTTGCTGCAAAGTTTGAGCCCAGTGGAGCAGTGATTAGGAGAGGACAAATGTGGCTTAACAATAGCAACTAAGCACATCTAAGAGTCCCGAGTAAATACCTATTTCATTGTACATCATCTTTGGAGTACATATAAACATTATGGGATCTTTTCTGCCTCCTTTTTCATATAAGAGTAATGCTTTTCATGATGTTAGTAGATTACGTAAGATACTACACACTCATCATTATTCAGACCGCAAATATTTACAAGAAAGCCCCCTAATTTGATCATTTTGTTGGAAGTCCCAGTAGGGAAAATTAAAAAATAAAAAGCTTGCAACATACATTTTGCATGCTACATAAACATATACATCTTTTATTTCCTGGGCTTCAAGGAAAATGAAGGCCAAAACCCGTGTGGCTGATTATTCTAGTCACAACTCTGCCAAGTTTTAATTGAAATTTTGTTAAAAGATAAAGGTTGTCTCGTGAAGATTCATCATAATAAAAGGCTGCTTTAGGAGTTCATGATGTTCAAAATCTATTAGAGTTTTGTCCAGAAACTGTCAAAGTAGTTTACATCATATTTGGTAATCTTGATGGCAAATTCCCAGTATACTGTAAGATTATTTCATTGCCAAGATCTGTGGAGTTGAATTTAAAAAAAAATTCTATTACTTTAAACAAAGCCATAGGGCATATGCCAAATGCTTCTGTGGGGTATTAGGGACAAACTATGAACTTCCTTGCTCCATTTCTGAAGATCTTTCCTTTAAGGGAACAACCACATAAAACTAGAGCATCCTCCCTGGAATCATTTGATGCCAGATATTACCTCTATTTAGCAGCTGTACCATCTCAGAACCATGACATAAAAAAGAATAATAGGTTCCAAGATCACCAAAATTAGTATAGTTTGCTAAAAGCTCCTCAGAATCTCTTGCTCACACTCAGTACATGCTTGTGAGTAGCCATGTTCCTAGATTGTGCCGTGTGTCATGGAGACAGTGTGCTGGGATATATTGTGCACTTTCCTCATTTCATCTCCACTCTATAATGTTCTATTTCAGTTCTTAATTTGTAGATTCTACGTTTTTGTGCAGTTGTATATATAAAATGAGAGATATGTTCTAAATGAAAATTAAAGACTTTAAAAATGTTTCTCTGCATCTGTTCATAACTTCCTACTGCTTTAAATTCTTACCAGGTATTTAAGGGTTATAAATTCCATCAGAATTATGAGATTTGTATAATGACCATGATTCTTAGGCTAATGTATATGGAAAGGTAAGAAAAGAACATCTGGATAGAGGCCCTTCTTGACCTTGTACCATACTATTCAGCCCTTACACTGATGCAGAAGAATAAAGCAGACAGTAAAGGCAGATATTTGGTGTGAGAAAGAGAAGAGGGGTAATATGAGTGCCCCAAGACCTGGTTTCCACTGTCAGTAAGGAGACATTAATTCATATTGTAGTATTCTCAGAACACATGACTGTTTTGAGCAGTGAAGAACCAAGCTGAAAATATGATTTATTCACAATTTTTAATGTACCCAGATAAAAGTTTTCATATGTGCCATTTTCTCACGTTTTTGGTTTGTTTGTATCACTGATTGCCATTAAGCCCAAAGTTTTGGTATCACTTCTGCATGTAACTTTAAAAAGGAAGTATATATATACACATATACACCCATACAGACATGTATATGCATACACATATATGTGACACATCTTTATACTTATGACACCAAAATTTCTATCTTTCCATCAATTTTTTTCTGTGAAAAGGATACCAGATTGAAGGAAGCTAAAAATATGTACAACTAAATTTAACATGTGCTCATACAATGGATCCTAAACTAGGAAAAATTTTTTTTTTTCTTTGCTATAAAGGGCACTAGTAAGATAACTGGCAAAATATGAATCTCCAGAAAGTTACCAACAGAATTTTCGGCAATGATGGAAGTGACCTGGATCTGTGCTCTTCAGTACAACAGCTGCTGAACTGATGAGTGGCTGAAATGTGACTGACAATGTGTGAATTTATAATTTATTTAATTTTAATTAATTTAAATTTAAATAGCCAAACATGACTAGTGGGTAACATAGTGGACAGAACGGGACTTACTCAATGTTGATTTCCTGATTTTGATAATTATATTGGGACTATTTGAGAGAATAACCTTATTTTTAGGAAAAACACACTTATGTTTTTAGAGGTTCAGTGGTATCATGTGTGCAATTTAAAAACTTTAAAATTTTCCAGAGAAAAGAGAAAATAATTAAGCAAATGTGGTAAAATGTGAATATTTGAAAAGTCTGGGTGGTGTACTATTTTTGTAACTTTTCTATTATTTCAAACTTAAAGTTAAAAAGAGAAAAGAATAGTTACATAAAATCAATGTTATTCTAAGACTTATTTGTAACCATAAAAATATTAATCAAGTTCCTATTTCACATTATATTTTCTTTTACTTAGTTTTTGAAATGTGAGTGTTCAACTACTAATTCAATTTTGGTTAAAAACAACTCCTCCATCATTGTATGAACAAAATTTCACTCTCTGGCCACAAGTGTATAAAATGCAGAGCTCCTGTAACTATTTATAGTTTGTGGAGAAGGAAAGAGGGTACAACTCAGATTTCATCGTGAGTGCTGAATATTAAAAACAGCGCAGTTATTTGAAAGTTAAGATGATTGAGGAAAGCAGAAAAACCATCGTGGTGTCTCTCTGAGGAGATGGGACATACACGGTCATTCTCACAGAATAAAACGGAAAGCCAGATAAAGAGTGAGATCCAGTGGGTTCATCTTTAGAAAAATAATCTACTAAAAAATCTGTACATTGTGCCTATATGTGATCAATCAAATATTAATGATAAATAACACAAAAGTTGAACAGAAAACTTGGAAAATAAAGAAAAAGCACCTAGGTTAAGTTCAAATCAGATTTCTTTTTCCATACACTACTTCATCCTGTATAATCAGATTTTAACCATCACTTCATGAAATGAAAGTATTCTCAGAAAGATTTATAAATGTACTTTTCAGTAAATTCAACAACAAAAGAAATTTTCTGTCCTACAGATACATATTTCTAATTGTTTGACATTTTGACAAAGGTCTCTCAGAAGATGTGAAAACGAGTATGTGTAAAAGAAGGCAGCCCTTCCCACCCAGTCTGGCTCTCACTGCTGGGGTTCCCTCAGTGAGCCACCTGCCCCGCCCTTCACCCACTGTGGGAAGTGTGTCTCTGGGACTTCTTGTCTCCTCCTCACCTGCTATAACCAGATGTAAACAGGTCTTGTTGATTTTATACTATTTACAACAATTTCCTGAGTCTGCTTCCTTCCCACAGACTAGTCTACACTGCACTCATCTGAGCATGGATACTGCCCTGCCTTGTTAACTCTTTTATGCCTGTCCATTTTGGACCCTTTAGTTTGCTCAAAGCAAGAGTGAACTCCAAGTGACACATGTGTTGGTGGTTGGCCAGTCAACTGATAAAGGTCAAGATGGTGCACAGCAGGCTTCAGGCTCTTCACAGTCCCATTGTGGAGACATCAGCAGCCTGCTCTGACCAAAGCCTGTGAGGTTTTGTTTCTCACATGCCCTCTTCACATGTTTTTTCCTTATTTTCTTTCTTTTGTCTGAAATAAACATTACATCCTCCTCTTCTTTTCTAAGGCACCCTTCCCACCTTTCAACAAACCTTTCAGACCTCAGCTCGTGTCATTCAGCTACCCTTGAAAACCCCCAAACCATCCCAAACTGATCAGACTTCTGTTTAAGCTCTCACAGATCTCATCTCAAGGTGTAATTATCCATTTATTCTGGTAACTTCAATGTGTTGCGGACTTATTCAACATCTTCTTAATTTGTTTACAAGCTATCTTGTTTCCTGCACCAGGCAGACCAATAAGCATGATGACCACCGTATGTGGATGTGGTCACTCAGTCACTGTGAATAGAAGAATTGCAAATGGGGAGATGAATGAAAAGGGGAGTGGAAGATGAAATTTCTGATGAAATATTGGTTCTTTGGGGAGCTAGGGAAGTCAAGTCCATTTTTATTTCTGGCCTAACATATTCAAAAACATAATTTGTTGCACATGAGGCAAAGTATAGTCATGCATGACGGATGCTCAGTCCTTATTAATAATGTTCAACAGCATTATGACAGCTTGCAAAATCTTAGGAAAATCCATGGAGTATTCAAACCCTGAATTTTATATGCTCACAATCCATAGAGATTTACAACAACTGATTAAATATTTCTAAATATAAATCAAGTTTTGATTTGAAAAACTGCTGAAAAGTATGCAGAAGGCAGTACCAACACCACAAGTCCTATCCTAATTTGGCGGAGGCCACCCCACAACACACAGGACTGACTAATACCTGTCTTTATTTCTAATGCTCAGGCAAAGGGACCACAAGTGTGCACCTTAATTAAATATGTAATTCTTAATAGAATCCTCAAAACTCAGTTGCTGTTTCTGAAAACAATTAGATTAATTAGATTAGATTAATTATTGTATAGTAAGCACCATATATACCATTTTTAAATTAAGTTTCATGTAGGTACTACAAAGGGCAGAGTTCATTGTCTTTTTTGTTCATAACTATTTCACCAGTACCTGGAACAGTGTCAGAGACATAAGAGTTGCTATTTACTAGACAAAACTATTTAAATTCATGCTTGTGTATGTATGGGCATTTGCTCATATAGTATGTACTTATCAAATACTTATGTGCTCACTTTGGCAGCACATATACTAAAACTGGAACAATACAGAGACGATTAGCATGGACCCTGTGGAAGGTTGTCACGCAAATTCACGAAGCATTTCATATTTTGAAGAATGCAAAATCTTAAGTGTCAGACCACAAATTTTGCATTAAATTTGATTTGTTTTCTATTTAATAAAGGACCTGGATTTTTAAAATTACAAATAAAATAAAGAAAATTTGTGATCTAAAAGAAAAAAATACTTACCATGTACAATGAAGCATGTCCAGCAGTGATGATGAGAGATAAGGACACATTTTCTACCCTCAGGGGCCCAGGGTCAATGGGAGAGATGACACCCCACTGTGCAGAAGAGAGAAGTTTCTCTCAGCCTGAGGGTAGACCATCCTCTTCAGAGACTGTGTGAGAAGGCAGCTGATGGGATAGTACAATCTCAGAATTTACAAAAAATAAAATTATTGATCCCAATTTTGTTTTCACCAGCAATCGCTGGGTGATTTTTGACAGATATGCCCAGCTATGCAGAAGGGTTGAAGAGGGTCCACTGGGCAAAGAGCAACTGAACTGCATGGTGGAAAAAAAAAACAAAGCAAGGAAGAAGGCAGTACATCCCAGAAGAGCAGCCCAGGATGAGGGGAGGGGGTGTGGTGAGAGGTGAGCACTGAAAGACACACACGTCATCTGTTCCTGAGACCCAAAATAGTGAAGAGTCATTGTCAGGTCTGGAATTTAGAAAAAAACGTTCCCTGTGGTGTTTGAGAGATTGACACCAGGGGGACTAGATGTGGAGGCAGAGATAACAGTGGGACAGGACCGATATCTGGGACAAAAGTAAATGAGATTAAAGCTAAATTAAGGAGAAATGGTTTAGTCTGAAGACAAATTATTTGTGCAGGTTATCAAGGAGGTGAGACAGGGGAAGTTAGGAAATATTTCTCTGATCATTTGCTGAACAGCAGTTATGGTGACTGAAATTAAAGAAATAACTGGGGACGGGTTAGGAAGGGGGCAGATGTGTGCTCTGCTCTGGGGATCTGAAGGTGCCACCCACGTGCACACACACACTGTGCCGTGCTGGGCACGACAAAACTGTCACAATGTGTGATTTGGGATGATTCTATGCTGCTGTATCAGAGAAGTGTCTTCCAGTAGAGCAATCTATTTTAAATTTTAAGGCCCTTGCTTCTCTCAGATTATTTCTACTTGTTTAGAGTGAGAATTACACCCAGTTCTACGTATAGGTACAATGACTGTAATGGTTTGGGCAGTTGAAAATTAAGCACCTTAAGAGGTGCTTAAGAAGAAACATCGATTTTCACTGTTTTCTTTACTTTTTTTAATTACAAAAGATTCTTTAATACACAGTGTGAAACTGATGGATACACAGCAAAATAATTGATTATTTTCTTATGACTTTTTAAAAATTTTTTGCTTATTTGGAGGCTAGAGGGAGCGTTAGATCAAATTATGTGTTTGTATCATTTGGTACAATTCAGCTTATTCAATCAGTGAAAAAAATTGTAAGTTACTCATACCATCCTATTTAATAAATGCATTATAATTTAATATCCTTAGCTTGTGCTGCTTCACTCTTTCTGATACTAAATAGGTCGTAAGCACCTATTAGAGGCCAGAAAGTACCAGGTGTCAACGTACAAAACAGACGAACAAACAAATGCACAATCTTGGAACATCAGGGGCTGACAATCTAGTGTGAGGCAGAAACATAGGGGTGAAATAGCAATGAGTGAAGCACATTTCCAAAGGCAAAAGTGATAAAAGTAAATAAAATGCAGAGTCTGTGTATTGTAATACACAGTAATACACAGTGTGTTAAAGGAGGAAGTGATTAAGACCATGGTCTCTAAAAGGAGCAGAGATCTTTAGGGGTAAGCGAGTTTGGAGTTGTGGAGGTAAGATGACAAGCCAGGAAGTGCTTGCCTGGCACAGGGGATGGGGTTGGCTTTCCAGGATTCCAGGCAGAAAGCAGAGCAAGCCCAGGAGGAGACACAATCCACTGCCACTGTGCAGGGCAAGTGCTCGGTGCATTTGGTATCAGAGAGCTGTCAGAGAAGTCAGAAGACAGAACACACACTCTCTCTATTTTTGGAAATGTGCATTGTTAAGGTTGAACTAACTTTCTGGTCATTCTCATGTCTTGTTTTAGTCTAAATGATCAAAAACAAACCTGTGCACATTAATACGTCAGAATTTTTAGAAGAAAATAGAAAATGCCATAATAAAATGAACTTCATTTATACACACAAAAATTTTGTTATGTTTTTCTCTAACATTCCAAAAAGTTCTTTAATCAAACCATGATTACTTCATCCTCAGTAAAATCTGTCTTTTCCTGTCCAGAATATGTCATTACAAGTACCAACGACATTTGTGAAATCTTACATAATGAAAAGGTAAGGGAATTTGTCTAATTTGTCTTTTGTATTACCAAGTTCATTTATTCAGGTATTTTTCTATCACTTATTGATGACATTGTTATTAGTCTTGCAATTATATTTACGAAATAAGGATCTTTCATATAAGTGATCTTATTTTACTGTTATATGGAAAATAGATGCTTTTTCAATGGGGCAACTACAGTGCAAACCTGAGGCTTGCAGAGTGAAGCCCGGATGAAGGATCTCTGTGGAGCACCACTGCGTCTGTGTGCCCAGAAGTGTCCCTGCCGGGGCAGGACCTGGGCGTGGTGGAGAGCGGGAATGGTGCCCGGTGCCTTTTGTCTGCAAGTCAGCAACGTTTCCAAACCTGATCTTGTACTTGCTGTTACCAAAGTGAATTAGACATTTTTTAAACCATGGCTAAGAGAAGAAAACTAGTTTGAACTCTACTTCTGGTGCCAACAACATGACATAATGAGGTAAATACTGGTAATTGTGTTCAGTTCAATAACGCTTTTAATTACGGTTGAGCTTTCTCCTTTGGAGTCTATGGATTTTACTGATGAAAAATGAAGACCTGAAAGCCAAGTGAAGGCTGCCTCCTGGGTTTCTTTTGCTTAATTAAAGGACAGATATGGTGCTTTTCCTACTCTAGCCTTAAGCAAAATAAGGAATTTGCTCATAATTTTATATTCAAAAGCTTTTTTGTTTTAAATACGATGCTAACGAAATGAGATCTTTAGTGTCTGTACATCCTGTGTACTTATCCTGGTGTCTGAACTAAGAGGCACTTACTTGATTTTTCTCTGTTGAATGAAGAAAAGGATATACTAAAAGGATATACTAAGCATCTGAGGCAGAGGGAGCATGTGCTGACTGGGGCCGTCTGACCCTCGGGAGGCACAGACAATGGAGAGTGACTCACTCCCATGTCCAGAGCCAGCGACCTCCATGTCTGTCCCCTTCTGACTCATTAGTTTTCCTACATTCTTTCCCACGTTCATCTGAAGTGAGACGAGGAGAATACCAGTGTACCTGGGCCTGCCCATCTGCCTTCTGGAAACATGTGTTTCCTTTGGAGAATTTCATTTGTATTTGCTGAATACACAATGACAGAGAATATCAATGACACAATTCACTGGGATCCATCTGGAGCTGTTCTGTTCATCCTTTCACCATCCCGCCTCTGACTTCCCGTGGAAAGGCTACTTGCAGGGTGAGATGTCCCTTAGAGGGCCCAAATCTTCATGGCAATACCTCTGAATGAAACATAACAAAATAAGTGATGAGTACCAATTAAAAGATAATAAGATAAGCACCTCTGGCCAATAAAAATAGGCTGATTTCTAGAACATTGGTGACTGGAGTAAGGCTCTATGCAATCTAGATGGGAAAGAGTCTAACGTCTGCCCTTTCAGAAGCACTGAGAGACCCAAAGCATTTAATCTTTCATTGCAGATGGCATCTCCTTTCTTGAGTACCTTCCATTTTTGACAGAGATGGGCAGACAGGTGGTCAGTCCTCAAAATGTAACAATTTCTGAATCTGGAGCCTGCTTGCCCATAGGAAATTACCAATAAAACCCATAGCAACATGACAAAAATCACCCAGAGATTGCTGGTGAGAGCAAAATTGGGATCAATAGTTTTATTTTTTGTAAATTCTGAGACTGTACCATCCCATCAACTGCCTTGTCACACAGTCTCTGAAGTGGGTGGTCTGGCCTCAGGTTCAGGGACCCTCTTCTCTTCTCTGCTCACCCAGACCTAAGTGTTAGTCGTTGTCTGGAGACTGTGTATGTTAACAGATGTCGCTCTCAAGTGAATCTGAGCATATCCAACTTAGTGTTTAAAATACTTAAGCATCAAAATTCAGAGTTTTGTCTATATAAGAGGAGAATTAAGCAAAATATTTACTATAGATTTATAGACATAATTATATTATCCCAGTGCCTGTTTAAAGTGAAGAGGTTTTCAACTTGCAATACAGATTAACAGTCTAAGGATGTGCCACTGAATAGCAACAATAAAAACTGCAAATGAGAATATTGCTTTTTATATTCTAATTTGACACATATAAGAAATGTATCATATTGATGATATTTGCTTTTGCATAAAATGGGCTTTATTTTAACATAAATGTCATATGTATTCTACTGTTTAGGTAAATTGTATATGCTCATCTTTTTCTTGCTAAAAGGGTTTTCAGTGTTCCAATGTACTAAACATAGCACTCAATATGTGGCTCAGTAGACAGTCTGCTAAGCAGTCTGAGAGAGGGGGAACTGTGAGATGAGGAAGCCACACCAGGAATCAAAAGTGGCTTACACGCTTCTTTTCTGTTTCACTGCTTTTATATCATAACACAGACCATTTTGCTTTGAGCAAATGAATTAGCTACCAAAAAAAGTTGCTCATTGACCTGTGTCCGTTTCTGTGACATATAAGTCTGTCTCTACTGACTTCTGTGTCTCTGTATTAGCAGGATGAGCACCAACAATAAAATGGTGGGCACCCTGCATCACTGCCTCAGCCTGAAAGAATAATTTCCATGACAAGTAGATTTTAGGGTCACAGTTTAATACGTTTCTATAAGCTTATGTACAGGAATAGACAAGGGACATTAAAAGTTCGCAAAGCTCAGATTGCCTATTCCAGGTGGCCTACTGGGCCACTGGGAAGGTGACACTCTGCAGGCCATGGCTGCACC